GCCAAACACATTAATGAGGGAATGAAGTCACCCTTAAAGCATGACCTTAGGATTCTATAAGCTATATTAGCCAGCGTTTGTTCCAAGCAAAGCAACTTCAGTGAATTTCTTGCCTGCAAAAGAATCTTCAGTGCTTAATGCAAAGGTTATGAGTATAAACTTTTATAATAAATTTAAGAAAGTTAATTTAAAAAATTACTTCATATAGGTAAGTTACTTCTATCCTTGTTCACTTTGAGGTTCTTTAGTTTGAACCCATGGACTCTGAAATGCTAAGCACATAAGTAAGACATTGACCATGTGTGCATTCACTTTATATGCCATCCTATAGCCTTCATCCAGCAGCTGGTAGCAGTAGAAGCAGACACCCACAACTAATCACCAAACTGAACTGGAACCCAGATACAGAGAAGCACAAGTGAAGAGCATAGGGGTCCAGACCAGGCTGGTGAAACCCACAGAAACAGCAGACCTGAACATCCAGGAAATCTTGCTCCCCAGACTGATAGCTGGAATATCAGCATGGGACTGATCCAGACCCCAAGAACATGGGTTTCTGTGAGGAAACCTCAGAAAACTATAGGACCTCCTGTAGAAGTACAGTACTTATCCCTAGCATATCTGTGGACTCTGGGAGCCCATTCCATATAGAGGAATACTCCCTGAGCCAAGACACTTGGGGGTGCACCTAGGCCCTATCCCAAAGTATACAATAGACCCTGATGACACCATATGGAAGGCCTCACACTCCAGGAGGAGGAGAAAGGATATTTGATTGATAGGGTTTTAGTTGGGGGGTCGGTAGGGGAGGATGGGTGGGAGAAGGTAACTGGGATTGTCATTTAAAACAATCCTGTTTCTAATTCAAATTTAAAAAGTTGAAGAAAAGAAGAAAAGTCTAGGTAGTTAATTAGGGCAAGTCTTTCCTCCTTGAGAATAGCTCATTTACGTTCTTCTAAACTCTGCGTTCTTGAGTATTACCAAACATTTATTATTCACAAAGTAAAACTTGTCTGCTTGAGCTAGGAAATTGTATCAATCCCCATTCTGTTTTAAGGTAATCTCAGGACTTTTATTTTAAAGTGAGTTTATGTCTTGTGTTTTTCAATGCACTAAAACAGTATATGTTGCTGGGTCTTCTGAACACTGCAAGGGTTATTAGATGTAAATATTACTAGTTTTCTCTGTTGCACACAGAAGTCATAACTATATACTAGGGAGTCTGTCTCAGGGGTATCTTGAGTTTGTGGCTAATGTGAGCTACAGTATGAGATACTTTCTCTAAGGGGAAAAATGTACTGGAGTGAAATCTAGTAGTACATTAAATGCAGCTCCTGAAAGAATTGCACCGAAGACAAGGTTGTGGGTAGACTGTGGAAATGTAGTCCTTGTGAAATTTTGAAATCACAGCCAAGTTCTAAGTTATGAACTTGTGCTTGCTAAAGTCAGCAGGACTAGTTGGAAGGAGGCTAGGGTGGCTGTCGAGGATGGGGAAAGAACTATGTGAAAGCTCCCTGTGCCACCATACTAACTTATAATGATCTCCAGTGAGGAAGGACTGCTGCTTCAGTTCCACACTATACATCACAAAAATTATTTTCACCTATTTATTCCAAAGAAAGTTACTTTCGGTAAAGCTTCACTTTGTTGTGTCAAAATGAACATAGCTAGCCTTTCAGTTAAAATGGAGAGAGCAGATGCTATTCAAGAACTCCTAACAGGACCGGAAATGTTGAGATGCTTTTGTGCAGCTGATTGGTATCTTAAAGGGAGAGAGAGAATTGGATAGAGCTCATTAGAGTGAGAGAAGGGAAAGACTGCAAAGAGTGGTCAGTTGAAATGTGCTGACTACACCTGCTGCCTGACAGCTGTCAAATGGGGCCTTTCCATCCTCCTATCTTCGAGACAGAGAAACTATCCTTGCTGATGATTACACTTTGAAAGAATGGCTTTCAAGTCATTGTGAGATACACTCTTGGGTTGTAAGAAACTCATTTTTATGATTACAAACTTTTCTTAAGTAAATGTTCTGAAAAACTAGTAGTCATGGGTTCCATCACTGGGTTGTGTCCAAAGTAAAGAATGAAGCCCCTGACAGAATCAGCTTTGAGGTTTCTCAGCCAAACACATTAATGAGGGAATGAAGTCACCCTTAAAGCATGACCTTAGGATTCTATAAGCTATATTAGCCAGCGTTTGTTCCAAGCAAAGCAACTTCAGTGAATTTCTTGCCTGCAAAAGAATCTTCAGTGCTTAATGCAAAGGTTATGAGTATAAACTTTTATAATAAATTTAAGAAAGTTAATTTAAAAAATTACTTCATATAGGTAAGTTACTTCTATCCTTGTTCACTTTGAGGTTCTTTAGTTTGAACCCATGGACTCTGAAATGCTAAGCACATAAGTAAGACATTGACCATGTGTGCATTCACTTTGTTTCTGTCTTGCTTGTTTTATGTGTATGCTGCCTATCATTCATCTATCTATATATCCATCTATCAACTATCAATGTATTTATAACCTATCTTCTACATCTGTCTATCTATCTATCTAGCTATCTATCTTCTATCTACTTATCATCATTTATCATCAATCATCTCTCTATATCTATGATCAACCATCTATCATTCTATCAACCCTCTCTCTATCATCTGTTTATGATGGAAGGTAGGATTCTGCATCCTAGTCTTCTCTGAGGCTTGTATGAATCCTCCAGACATAGACTTCTATGTAAAATACAGAAGTAAACATACACATCTAGATGGAAGTTCATTCAGCCTAGTCATACTTAGGAACTATTTTTTACATGTGTAATCTAAATAATTTTCAGATATTTTAATACCTCGAGGAAACTATTTTTAAAGATTATTTTACTCATGGGGAAATTAAGAGAAATAAAGTTAATTTTACAATTATGGTTGTATAACATGAAGAAATCATTTCAAGTTCATTATTGATTCAACTTAATTCCCCTAAAAACTCATTTTGTGACTATTTCTGATTAATTGATATAGAAGGCAGAGCAACACAGATAACTAAGATACAATGAGCTTTAGAATAGGCTAAATGATAGCAAACCACACTGTTAACTATACTCTTTCCTGACAGCCTCTTGGGTCCCGACTTTGCTTCAGGCCCCAAATAACACACAAGACAGTATATTAATCATTAATTTGTTACCTGGTGACTAGGGTTGCTTATTGGCTACTTCTGTCTTAATTATTAAGCCATTTTCTATAAATCCAAGTATTTCCACATGGTGTTGTCTTACGAGGAATAACGGATCCGACACTCCTTTGCGTGCCACATTTCTGCAAAGAAGATAACGGATTTCCTATTCGTCCCTGCTTATATTCTAATTCTGCTCAGCTATGTCATTTCCTCTCTGTATGTACAGACATCCAGACTTCTAAGGTTAGCTAGTGGCAGTTTCCTGGGATCACATGATGATTCCTCTTTGCCTATACATCCCGGAATCCTCCTTGTCTCTTAGTCCTACCATCTTTTTGCCTGGCCAATCAGTGTTTTGTTCATCAACCAATAACGCAAATATATATACAACAGAACATTCCCTATCAACACACTGAATATGTAATTACTCAAATCCTTTACATTTATTCCACTGAAGTTCTCCATACACACTTAAACATTGAGATGTGAATATGTGTGCTCTTATGAAGTTCCTATTTTTATGTAGTGAAAAATAATCCATTCCATCATTATTCCAATGAGACTAAATATTTTATACTAATATGGATACACAAATATGCTGTTAAAACAAATTCTGATTTAGGTTTGTTGATGTATATCTGCCATCCCATCACTTTGGAAATAAAGACAGAATTATTTAAGTTAAAGGCAGAATTTAAGTGCAGCATTGTTACTTAGCAATTTGATGCAAAACTGTATACAGAATACATTTCCTCACAAAGACAAATGTCTAGATTTTGGTTTTCTATCCATATTTATGCTGAATTTTGAGCATAAATCATATATAACCACAGGATTGTACTATTGGGATATCCTATAGTTCTGTAAAATATTTTCTTTTTCTGAAATTAAATTGTCATATATGAGGTTTCTATATACAACCATTAACATGGCATTAGTTTATATAAAAGTCCAAGGAGTTAATTTAAAATGTTAACCTAGCTGCATACCACACCTGACATTATTGCCCATAGGAAAAGGGGGAAATGAATGAACTGACAGTATGTCTTGGCTGTTCTACATTTTAAAAGTGTCTGTGCACATACTTTTATAAAAAATGGCTTTGAAAAGAGTTCCAAGAGGAGGAGTTGAACACATGTCTATTAAAAATATCCAAAAAAGCAGAGAACTATAAGCCAAAAGCTTTCTCCACTTTTACATTCTAAACAATGATTCCATCACAACAGATCATTCAAAAGTGTTGTTACTTCTACTTATTTAATTCTAAATAAGAAGTTTAATAAGTTGGTAGAGAAATGAACACTCAAAAGCAGTGATAATGGGAAGGAAGGAAAACTCATTTAATATTTGTAAAATAATATACAGAATATACTTTTGTTAAAAATGCTAATAATAACAAACAAGAAATTTCCAGTTATATCACATTCATAAGTACATATTTGTTTAAATGTGTATGTTCTGGAAGTGCTGAGGGGAGATATGTTAAAACACTACCCACATTCTATTTATGTATGATGAATAATACTGGAGAAGTGATATACACTATGGTGACCAAACATAAATACTGTACAGAATATTGAAAGAACTGCTAATAACTTGTTCTGAAGCATTCACAAAAGACAAATTTAATATACTAAGCACTGACTATGCTACCTTATTTGTAATTAATAAGGTTGTATTCCTCAAAATAATCAGATGCATTTTGATCTTAAAGATTCTATTCTAGTCATAAGGCACCATGACAAAAAGCACACACTGGAGGAAAAAGTTTAATTCAGTTTAGAGCTTCTAATTTATTATCAGAGAAGATAGGGAAGGAACTTGCCATACCAACTTGGGCAGAGGCTATGGAAAGATGGCGGCTTTCTAACTTGATCTTCAAGGCTTGTTCAGCTTGCCATTGCACAGTAGAAATGCCAACTCTGAGTGATCAGGACATGTCCAAATCAATCCAGAATCAAGAAAATTCATAACAGACTTCTCCATTGGTCAATCTGGTGAGGGAATTTTCTCAATTGAAGTTCTCTCTTTCAATATGACTCCAGCTTCTTTCAAATCGACACAAAACTCACCACTATAACCCCTGAAAAATGTGCAATTTCCTGTGTCAATAAATACTCAATGGAGCTGTAGAAAAAGAATAGGGACATTGTCTAGTAATATGGATTTCATTGTAAATGGAGTAATTGACAGAATCATCGTCATAAGAGAAGGCAAGGATTCTTCAATGCTTATATAGTCCACTGAAGCTACTAATGAATCTTGAATCTTGCAGAGATAGCACTTTCTTTGGAAAGCAGTCACTGACATTTTGGCTGTCCTTTTCTAAACTAGATCACCCTGATATATTATCTTTACTTAACCCCTCAAATATTTTATTATAGTCCCCATAATGTTTTACCTTATGATTTACATTGTAGACAGTGAACATACCCATTAGAATTAGTATGATATCTTCAAGTGCCTAAAATGTCACTCAAGATGAAGAATCAGAACATCATACAAGTTTATGATAAAAATAATAAGTTTGAATTAAGAAAAATAGAAGATTATTTCTCCAAAATATATTAAATTCCTAGAGTTTTATGCTGAGTTATGGATGAGGGGAGAATTGTGATAGGAATGAAAAAGTCTAATTAAATTATTCATCTTATGCATAAAGTAATTATGGAAGGGAGAAAAATTTGCAGGGAGATGTTCAGTGCTGTAAATTCTTCCAGTCTCAAAAATAAGTGTCAGTACAGTTCAATCAAAACTTTTGTTTTCAAGTAAAAGAAAATAATATCAAGTCTGGAATTGCTAGAGTCACTGATTGGGCTTGAAGAACTCAGCTGAAGTTGAAAAAAAGCTAGCAAAAGAGCAAGTAGAACATTATGGTCCACAGTGTTGCATATTTTGGATATAGTCCAATGATTCAGCCCTGAGTCACATCAAAAATACTATCTGTACATTTATTTATCTTTATTTTCATGTGAGTTGTCAGAAAAATACATACTATCTACATAAACCCAGCCAGTGTAGTAGTATCACCTTTGAAGTTGTAGTGAAAACAGTTCTCTACCACTCCAATACCAACCATCTTTCCATCTCACACCATTTTAAGTCCAGGGAGGCTATAAAAATGGAGAGAAAGAACTTACTACATGGTATGAAAGAAAAGGTCTTTGTATGATATTGACAAATATACCACAGTTAAGGTCCTCAGGGGAAGATCTTGATGAGTCATATGCTGTGAATGATCAAAGGAAGAACCCCACAGTAGTTCAGGGAAGTTGGGGCAGTGCTGTTTTGTTTTTACCCTGTTATAGTAGTTATAATGTGTTGTCAAGTTGGGAAGCTCCAAGTATCCAATTCCTCCCTGCCATCCCACTGCCCTTGTTACTGACTCAACTTGGAGCTTGGAGGACAACTTGTGAACCAAAGTCCCGTATGTCCCACTTATGCACTGAATTTTCTGTACTGATTATCCCAAGCTAATCTTGTGTGTTATATCAAAACATTCTTGTCTAGAACCAGAATGCTGAAAGTGTCATTTCCAAAAGCAAAGGGAGCACAACAGTCCTATTGGGGCACAAGTTAAATTTCATGAAATAATAGTACAGTTTGAAAGGTCATGTTTAGCTTACAGCTTTAAGGCAATTAGTAGAGACTCCAGGGATTCCAAATAATATTGTCTCAGTGTCTCCATTTTTTTTTATTTTTTATTAAGGTTTTGACAAATGTTTACTAGAGATATAGGAAAACTTTTCATCCCCCAAGAAAAACATGATATTTAGATATAATACTGTTTACCCTGAAGTTCTCATAAGTAGTTTTCCTGTTCATTTTTCTCAGTGTATCATTGAGTCAATGAAATCTTTTGTTTTTATTGAACAATCAGTCATAGATTCTCATTTTATATGTCTGTTTTTGCTATAATTTCACACATGGTTTTCTGTGTTTAGTTTTTTCTATTGTATATTCCTTTATTATTTAAGACGTATCACTTAATACATACAACTAAATCCAAATATTATTATTATCCATAAATCTCATATTTATTTAGTAAAGTCTTTATAATCATAAGATATTTTTTCTATTAAAAAGGTTAACTTTCACATTGTAGCCATAGAAATGATTTGGGAGACAGCAGGAGTATCCAAAATAGATTAAGTTAATGTGTTAGGTTTAGTGTTCACACAGCATGCTTTACTTTAATTGATTACTGTATGACCAAACTTAAATTAGTAATATGAGTGCTGATAGAAGAAAATTAATTTGTAATAAAATACCCTTTAAATCACCGTAGCAAGTTAATCTAACTGAAATGACTACCATTTGAGTTAAGATTACAAGGCTACTTTTATAATAGGAACACATGCTAGGTTAAGCAACTTGAAAATGAAAAGAACAGGATAAGCTGAACTAATTTAACAAAAATCTTTACAATTACCAATAAATTATATTGTATTCATTTTTAAAAGTAAATTATACAGTAATTTCTTTAAATGACAATAGATTTCTAAAGACTTGAAAATGAACAGGTTATTTTTATGGTATACATAAATTCAAATTGTAACAATAGTCCTCACAAATCACTATTGCAACAGACTAATCTGTGTATTTTCCCAACAAGAATTAGTGTCAATTTATTTTAGGTCTAGAAAATTTTAACACAAATAGTTCTACATCATCATCAGCAGCAGAATCAATATCCAATCTTCTATAAAATAAACTTCTAGAACACTACATAAATAAAAAAATAAAAATGAGCCAAGCGTTGGTGGCACACACATTTAATCCCAGCACTTGGGAGGCAGAGGCAGGTGAATATCTGTGAGTTTGAGACCAGCCTGGTCTACAAGAGCTTGTTCCAGGACAGCCTCCAAAGCCACAGAGAAACCCTGTCTCAAAAAAACCATAAATAAATAAATAAATAAATAAATAAATAAGAGTTATATTACAAATGTCAATAAGAATACAAATACAGCTGATCATATAACTAAGAAACATCACAATAAATTTATATTATTATATAACACAACAAAGTAAAACCAGCCACTATTTTTACAGAGTATCTCATTTAGCTCTCAAGAAAACTTTGATGAAATATAATGATATGCATACAGTTATATTATAAAATAGAGTCCTTCTAAACATAGATCTAAGCGTCTAAAACTTAGCTGCTTTTATGATAACATTGCTTCACTTGTATTTTTCAGTCTGGCTTTTACAGCAATAACTGTTGATGTTGAACAATCTATGACTGGGAAGGAAAACAATTTGAGAGCCTTCCTTCTTTCAAGGTCACTTTGAAATCAGAGGGAATATATGAACAATATCACACAAAATGTTAAGGCACAATATGTGACAACATCAGAGGCTTGCTTTGCTGTCTTACAGAGCCAAGCACTTATAGAATTTTATTTGTACAAAGGTTCTATTACTGCCATTTTACAATTCTCAGGTATTCTGGAAGAAGATACAGCAATTTCACTTTCTAGTATGCCAGACATGTTGTATAAAAAATTTCATGTGGCCAGAGGTATGGATCATCCTGTCAAAGATTTTTTTTTTTTGAGACAGGGTTTCACTGTGTAGGTTTGGAACCTATCCTGGCAGTCACTCTGGAGACCAGGCTGGCCTGGAACTCACAGAGACCTGCCTGCCTCTGCCTTCCGAGTGCTGGGATTATAGGCATGCACCACCAACGCCTGGCCCTGTCAAAGCTGTTATATAAACAATTTTAGTATATGTTCTGGGGAAGGGAGCACATGTCTCATGCAGAGATGTAGACAACTGTCATGTTTGTGTCAGAAAGATACTAGTTAGCATTTATGCTGCTCATGGTCTTAAACAATCCATTTGACCCAAGAAGCTTTGGCAAGAACTAATTTCTTTGTTGAAACTGTCACAAAGTCCATGGTTTCTTTTATTAGGATAGCCTGGTTCAGACACAGGCATGCTACAACAATATAATTATCAAATATTTCTGTGTTTTATGATAGCAAGGTAATAAAGTGAAATCATAATTCTTTAATCAAAATCACATCACACTTTAATTGATGAAATAAGTCAATAGAAAAATCCTGAATGGCATGGACTTTAAAAGGAAGAATTAACAAACCAAAGCTAATATGCTTATGTGAAAAATTTAAATAACATCAAACAGATATGCAAATAAATTCCATGTGACCAGAAACATTCATAGTTTACCACCTCTGCAAAATCACTTGAGAATTTAATAAATATAATACCACAAAATTAGCAATACAAAAATGATAATATAAAACTCATCTGAATAACTCTAATTGCTCAGAGAGGAATTTAAAACTGCAATGTCTTGTTAGAATTCAAGAACAAGAAGAAACCTGTATACCAAATTTATTAAATACTTGGAAAAGTTACATTAAAATCTATTAAGGTTTTCATTAATAGAATTTGCATTGCATATTTTATAAATATTAAATTTCAGTTAAATGAATATAAAAATCAGGTAATTTTTCAGGGCAACAAGAGGTATAGCCTTTAATGTTTATTTTTTAATGTGTCAATTCTACTATGCTATTTTCATAGAAATTAAAACTATAAAATAATAAGATATATCTGTATATTTATATTTACATATTAATCCATAAGGTTTTTATGTATTCTTCTCACTCAAGTGAAGGGCAAAGGGGGGTCAAGACTCAAGTGGAGGGTGTAGGGCAGGGGGCATATAGGGGTGCTAAGAGTGAATAGTGGCCAGATTCAGGGTAGTCCCTATGTGTTCTGAGCAGGCTCAGGAAGACTACAGACCAATATCCCTCACAAACATGAATTCAATATACTAAACAAAATGCGGGCAAATACAGTCCAAAAACACATCAGAAAAATCACCCAATATGATCAAGGAGGCTTCATTCCAGGGATGTAGGGATAGTTCAACATAAAAAAAACAATCCATCAATGTAATCCACCACATAAACAAACTGAAAAACAAAAACCACATTATCATCTCACTAGATGCTGTAAAAGCCTTTAACAAAATTCAACACCCCTTCATGATTAACGTCTTGGAGAGCTCAAGAATAACAGGAACATACATAAACATGATAAAAGCAATATACTGCAACCAACAGCCAACATCGAACTAAATGGATAGAAACTCAGCACAAATATTCTAAAATCAGGAACAAGAAGAGGCTGTCCACTCTCTAGATACTCTTCAATATTGTACTTGATGTCCTAGCTAGAGCAGATAGACAACAACATGCAATCAAGAGGATATAAATTGGCAAGGAAGAACTCAAACTTTCACTATTTGCAGATGATATGATAGTTTACATAAGTAACCCCAAAAACCTCTACCAAGGAACCCCTACAGCTGATAAACACCTTCAGCAAAGTGGAAGGATACAAAATTAACTCAAAAAATCAGTAGACCTACTATATTCAGATGATAAACACACTGAAAAAGAAATCAGAGAATTGTAACTCTTTGCAACAGCTACAAACAACATCAAATAATTTGGGGTAATATTAACCAAACAAGTGAAAGAACTGTATAGTAAGAATGTTGAGTCTTTAAAGAAATTAATTAAAGAAGATACCGGAAAATGGAAAGACTCCCATGTTCTTGGATAGGTAGGATCAACATAATAAAAATGGCAATCTTGCCAAAAACTATCTAAAGATTTGATGCAATCCCCATCAAAATCCCAACATAATTCTCCACAGATCTTGAAAGAATATTTCTGAACTTTATATGGAAAAACAAAAGACCCAAGGTAATGAAAACAACCATGTAAAATAATGAAACTTCTGGAGGCATCACCATCTCTGACTTCAACCTCTATTATAGAATCATAGTCCTGAAAACAGCTTATCATTGACAGAAAAGTAGACAGGTAGATGCATGGTATCCAATTGAAAACCCTTATATTAACCCACAAACTTATGAACACCTGATCTTTGACAAATAATCTAAATCTATACAATGGAAAAAAGAAAGGATCTTCAACAAATGGTGCTGGCATAACTAGATGTTGGTGTGTAGAAGACTGCAGATAAACCCATATCTATTAGCATACACAAAACGTAAGTCCAAATGGATCAAGGAACTCAACATGAATCCATTCACACTGAACCTTTTAGAACAGAAAGTTGGAAGTACCGTTGAATGAATTGGTAGAGGAGACCCCTTCCAGAACATAACACCCGAGGCACAGATATTGAGATAGACAATTAGTAAATGGGACCTCTTGAAACTGAAAACCTTTTGTAAGGCAGAGGACATAGTCAACAAGACAAAATGGCAGCCCACAGAATGGGACAAAAGCTTCAACAACCTCACATCTGACAGAGGGTTGATCTCCAAAATATACAATGAGTTCAAGAAGCTAGACACCAAAACACCAAACAATCTTATTAAAAAGGGGGATGCAGAACTAAATAAAGAATTCTCAATAGATGAATCTAAAATTCCTAAAAGACACTTAAGAAATTGCTAAACATCCTTAGCCATCAGGGAAATGCAACTCAAAACAACTCTGAGATACTATCTTACACAGACTAGAAGTGCTAAAATGAAAAACAACAATGACAGTCTATGCAGGAAAGCATATGGAGAAAGAGGAACACTCCTGCAGTGCTGGGGGGAGTGCAACTTGTACAACCACTTTGGAAATCAGTATGGCAGTTTCTCAGGAAAATGGGAATCAGTCCACCTCAAGATCCAACAATTCCTCTCTTGGGCATAAACACAAAGAAAGCACATTCATACAACAAGGACATATGTTAAACTATGTTCATAGCAGCCTTGTCTGTAATAACTAGAACCTGGAAGAAACCTAGATGCCGCTCAATTGAAGAATTGTTAAAGAAAATGTGGTACATTACACTCAGTCAAAAAAAAAAACCCAATGAAGTCTTGAAATATGCAGGCCATTGTATGGAACTAGAAGAAAACATCTTGCGTGAGGTAACCCAAACTCAGAAAAAAAGCAGGGTATACACTCACTCATATATGGATATTAGACAGAGAGTAAATGACTACCAGCCTACAATTTGTGCCTCCAGAGAAACTAGGAAACAAGGAGGACCCCAAGAGAACACATGCTCCCTGAAGAAGGGGAGAGGTAAAAGAAACCCTGAGCAAATTGGGAGCACAAGGGGAGACAAAAGGGAGGTCAAAAGGGGAGAGAGGAAGAAGAGGAAGTGGGAGGAGAACAGGAGAGAACAGGACTGAGACATCTGAGTTATAATGGAGGGCAAGGCAGGAGATGCCTTGGTAGAGGGAGTCAGAAAGGTTTGGAGAGAGGTGTGATACAAGGGAAACATTAGGTGATCCACAGGCATGACCTCAACTAAGAATCTAGAACATGGTGGAGAGGCTGGTTTAGATGGCCTTCCCATATAATGAGATTGATGACTACCTTGGTAACCATTCCTAGAACTTTCATCCAGTAACTGAACAAAGCAGAAACTGGTACCCACAGATAAACACTGATATATACTCCTGGAATCCAGTTACAGAGATGGAGGATATATGAGCAAAGGAGCCAAGACTGTGCTGGAGAAACTAGAAGAAACACTTGACCTGACTTAGTGAGAGCATGGAGACACAAGTTATAAAGATAGGGAACCAGCACTGGACTGATCCAAGCCCTCTGAATATGGGCACCAGTTAGGCAGCCAGAGCAGTCTAAGGGACCTCTAACAGTGGAGCTAGTCTTTATCCCTACAGCAAAATAGACTTTGGGATCCATTCCATATGGAAGGGTACTATTGTAGCCAAGATACAAGAAAGAGGGCATAGGCCCTCTCCCAAATGATGTGACAGATAGTGAGAACCACCTCACTATCCTTTGGGAGTGGGTGGTGGGTGGGTTGGGGGTGTCAGTGGGGAGCATGGGAGGATGGGAGGGTGAGGGAAAAGGGTGAATTAATTTGTAAATAAGAGTGCTTCTAAAATAAAACATATTAAGAAAAAGGGTTTTTTAATAATTGATTTTTCTTGTTTTAGAAGCTGATAAAATTAGTATCCTTTTCTGCCATAAGCATTCTGGGGAAATAGAAAAGCTTGCAAAATGATGCCTATTCCTACGTTCAAGGCTTAGGAATTTGTGAGTTCAGGCCATAAGACAGAAAACCTGAGATGGACTTAGAAAATTTGTTTAATCTGATTTTCAATTTTTAAAATTTTAATTTTATTTTATGTGCATAATATATTATTTTATATTCATCAAGTCTCACTACTTAGACCACTGTCATTCCTTTCTTCTCTCTTAATAGATTAAATTTTAGCCTAAATTAAGGATGGCAATCTCTTTTACTTATTCTAGACACTGAAATGCAAATTTCTTCTCTATACACCTGACTGCTGAATCAAGTTGACATAGAACAATAGCTATCTTAATTCTGCCTTGTCAAGATGGCTCACCATAATCACTACAAGAAAATAAGAAATTAAAATTCCACCTAACATTATAAAACTATTCAGCAGATAACTGAAATATACCTACCCATCTAGAAAGGCATACAAACGCATATCACAAACCTTGAGCAATATTTATCATTTGATTTAACATCATAACTTAAGTATATCATATATTATTCATACATAAAGCATTATATGATATTAGCATATCTTTTATTTCACAATAAGTGGATAACAGACGGAAGAAAATAAAGGAATTTCTATGTATATTCATATGCACAAATATACATGTTAAAAAGCAAGGGAAAAAATGTGTGATGACTCAGACTTTTGGGCAGTTGTGTCACAGCTGTCAACTCCCACAAGGAAGAGAGGAGAGAATTAACTCCTGAAAGTTTTCCTCTGCTCCATATACCCATTATGTTATCTCCACATCCATATATATAAACATTATACACACAGTAACAAAATGTCAATTTATAACATTTTTAAAATAAAATAATACAGTAAGGAAAATATGAAAAAATTAATCTGCATTTTGTATGTTGTGACAAAGCTATAAGAAGTTATTAACACTATGTTTTCATTACCTAGTCATTTATCCTAATCCTCCAAAAAGTAACATTGGAATCTGGGCTTTTTCACTGAGTCAGGTAGCTCAAATCTTCATTCCTAAAGTCTATGCACAATTAATACCGGTGTATGGGTTGGATTGTTATAATTTTGTTCAGAAAACTTCTAAGTCTTTTAATCAACATAAATTATTGACCCCAATGGGAGGTCCAACTTTTTCTCAGAAGTAAGAATAAGGCATTTCCCCAGCAAAGTTCTTCCCTGCTTTTCTTCTGAGAGGCAAACTTTGGAAGAAGGATTACAATTCTTCTGATTCAACTAGTCCTAGTATTTGTATTAAAACATCTATGCCAACAGAAAATAAAGTTTTTGCTAAGGAGTCCCATGTGAGTATTACTAGTATATCTAACCTATTATTTGTAGAATTCTGACTTTCAGAAAAATATCAATATTTATTGATCTCTAGCTCATCTTACATAGCCATCTAGAGATTGTTTTCTTTTTGTTGAGTATGCTGCAACTTCCGTGGCACTGTAACCATCAAATAAGTCACACCACCATTCATGTTTTTAAATTTTCCTTTTTTTGGCTGACAGATATTAATTATGCATGTTGTTTCATTATGACATTTTTCTAGATATATGTAATATACTTTTATCATAGTCACTCCCTATTACTCTTTGTTGTCCACTTTTGCCTCCATCAATTCCTTTCTTCCTTTCTTCTTTCTTGTTAATCTTGCTTCTACATCCACATTTTCCTTTTCTTTGTTTATCTCTTCTGTTTTTTTCTTTGATTTTGTTTTGCCTTGTTTCTGTGGTCCAATGGGTGCATTAGGGTTTCTCACATCAGAATGGGTGAAGGATTACTTACATGAGCCTCAGTATACCACATGTGGCTCCCACACTGGAGAAAATGACTGTTCCTCCATTAACAATTCTTAACTCTCTATAAATCGTCAAGGATAGGTGTGAACCAATGAGTC